GTTAAAACATCAGGAAATATACTGACATATATATATATATATATATATATATATATATATATATATATATATATATATATATATATATACACACACACACACACACACACACACACACACACACATACAAACATACATACATATATACAGTTGAAGTCAGAATTATTAGCCCCCTTGTTTATTTTTCCCCCAATTTCTGTGTAACAAAGAGTTATTCAACACATTTCTAAACATATTGGTTTTAATAACTCATTTCTAATAACTTATTTATTTTCTCTTTGTCATGAAAATAAATAATATTTGACTAGATATTTTTCAAGACACTTCTGTACAGCTTAGTGACATTTAAAGGCTTAACTAGGTTATAGGTTAACTAGGCACGGTATTGTAATTAGGCAAGTTATTGTATTAGGTTTGGTTTGTTCTTTTGACTATTGAAAAAAATAAAAGTTTTAATAGGCTATAATTTTGTCCTTAAAATGTTTTTTAAAAAATTAAAAACTGTTTTTTTTTTTTTGTAGCTGAAATAAAATAAGACTTTCTCAAGAAGAAAAAAAATATTGTAAGACATACTGTGAAAATTTCCTTTCTCTGTTAAACCTAATTAGAAATATATATATACATATATACATATATATATATATATATATATATATATATATATATATATATATATATATATATATATATATATATATATATATAAATTCAAAGGGGGGCTAATAATTCTGACTTCAACTGTATATAACTATATATATATATATATATATATATATATATCAACTATATATATATATATATATATATATATATATATATTCAAACTACTTACTAATAGTGTCAATTAATAAAAGTTAAGCTACAGACATCAAGGTCCTGTAACATATACCAAAAACATAAACGGGCAAAACGCCTACGAATCACATTTTATGGGAAATGTGTATTGTTATATGGTTAATAACTCTCTTAAAATAAAGGTACTTTATTGTTTATTGTCATTGATGGTCCCAAAGAAAACCTTTAACATCCAAAGAACCTTTACATTCCACAAAAGATTATTTATAGTAGAAAAAGGTTCTTCATCCTTAGAATAACTGGGTTTTTTGGAAACCATAAATGGTTTTTCAATGGCAACACTGCAAAAATAAATAAATAAATAAATAAATAAATAAATAAATATGGTAAAACATTTTAGAACCTTAATTTTTAAGAGTGTATTTTTATACTGCCTTTATATTTTATTCAGATGTCATCAATAGAATAAAAATCATTCTATTAACATTGATTAATAATAAGATTATAAGAGAAGAAATATATACTTTTTTCTTATCACTATTACTTTTTTAGAAGACTTTAGAGGATCATTTTACAAAACAATGCTGCACTAAAAAATATTTATGCTGCTTGTTGAAACTACTTATTTAAAAGGAGCTAAAACAACACAATTCTTGAGATTTCTTTGGAAAACTTAAATGTGTTATGTTCAATCCACTTAAATTTGTTACATTATCTTAATTGATTTGTGTTGAGACAACATAAATGAATTGTGTGGAATCCTGCATTTTTTGCAGTGTGGGTTGTTTTAATCCAAACTTGGATAAAAAATAGACAAAAGACAACACAACAGTTGGGTTAAATGTATCAATTAAAACTGTTGGGTTTGTCCAAATTTGGCCTACATTTGAATTAAAACAACCCTGCATTTTTAGAGTGTATGTAATATACATGTTAGTAAGCTTTAAAGTCAACAGCAAACCCATCAATCAATAAATTCCACAAACCCTGACCACCATCATCACACACACACTAAAAAAATTTGGGTTGTTTTAACCCTATGGTTTTAACCCAACATTGGGTCAAATATGGACAAATCTGACATAATTTTTTTGATTAAATGTAAATGTCACTTTTAAACCCAAATGGTTGGGTTTCTCTATATTTCACCCGAAGTTGAATTAAAACAACCCAGCATTTTTAGAGTGCATCAAAACATTGACACAATACTCAGAAGCATGTCTGTATTCAAATCCTGCTCTTAAAATATAAAAAAGCAGCAATTAAAAAACTCTGCTAACATTTATATTTAATGTGTGGACAAGGTCAGGCTGAACTGATAGTCGATGTTCAATCAATAAGAGATTTGAATTTAAAGAGCTTTGTCCCGGCGGGTGACGGAGCAGGAGTCAGCGCTGTGGATAAACCCGCAGGCCTGGTTAACTCTCAGCACCATGATTAATTCATATACTGGATTATGTGCCACCGCTGGGCTCCTTCACACTAAAAGCACACACCGCAATGAGATAAAGGCTTTTCCTCCAGATAGAGGCTCAGTTTGATGGCCGTCGTCTTCCTCGCATGTGTTTCTGTGAAAGATCCCCCTACTCAATCTCAGCTTACTCTTTGTTTCTCGCCCCCCGTCTATGAATGCAGATATGAATCGAGATGAGTTTGTTGTTTCTCTGTACATCTATTGTTTCTGATGTCAAGGTGCTGCTCTGCATGTCCGATGGCATCTTTGAAAATTTGTCACGTTTTGGAGAACGGGAGATTTTTAGATGTGCTGTGAAAGAGCTGTTTATGGAAGAGTTATGATTCCCTTAGTTATTGAAGGTGTTTAGTAGATAGTGAATGGGTTTAAAAATGGCAGACCTTTCAGGTATTCCAGCTTATAGATTAAAAAAAGCTAATATTGTGTTTGTTCCAAACTAATTTTGACTGAAATTCTGAAATTATTGTTTTATTTCTTTTTATTATTACTGTTTTGATTTAAAATTAGTTTTGAACACTTTAAAAAGTAAATATTAAATATTACACAAATAATTATTACTAAAGTAACAAGGACAAAATTTATGTAAAAATCGAATACAAATTTTATTCTTACGGTTTTTAACTGCTAATTATTTTAACTAATATGTTTATATATATATATATATATATATATATATATATATATATATATATATATATATATATATATATATATATATATATATATATAGTCCTGAAGATTTACTTTATAAAATACAAGGCCAGGGAATTATGTTGACCTAAGTTATTTCAAAAACATAAATAAAAAATAAATAAATAAATAAATAAATAAACAAACAAACAAATGTTCGACAACAGAGTGGTCACACATTATTTTGTCTTACATTATTTAAAAACATTTTTAAAAGTAAACACGTTTTTAACTAAGTCTTTTAAAATGTAGGTATAATTAAAATAATAAAAAAAAATCATTACTTGTCTGAAACACAAGGATAAGTTAATGTTGACTTAAAATCTAATAGATTTATTTTTTACCGAACAATTCTTAAAATGTTAAAAAAATATATAATATAAATATATACATTGAATTATCCTCATCAGTTTTATATAACACAAAGGCAACACATTTTTTAATTTGATGAATTCCTTAAGATTTTTTAAAAGTAAATATTTTAAAAATATATTAATAATAGTGTTAAATAATACTGATTATAATTATTTTATAATTACTGTTCTAAAAATCAATCGATTTTATCTTGACCAAACAGTTGTGATTTAACTTATTTTTTAAAAGATTCAGACTTAATTGTTTTTAATTAAACAATATTTATAAACTATAATACAATTATTATAATTTAAATATAAATTGTAAAAAGAAAATAGGTGATTAAATACATGTTTGTTACATAAAAGTGATGATTTCAATACTCTCATTAATAGGTACAGTTGAAGTCAGAATTATTAACCCCCCTGAATTATTAGCCCCCCTGTTTATTTTTTCCCTAATCTCTGTTTAATGGAAAGAAGATTTTTTCAACACATTTCTAAACATAATAGTTTTAATAACTCCTTTCTAATAACTGTTTTATTTTATTTTGGCCATGATGACAGTAATGAATATTTGACTAGATATTTTTCACGACACTTCTACACAGCTTAGTGACATTTAAAGGCTTAACTATGTTAATTAGGTTAACTAGGCAGGTAAAATATATAGCTTAAAGGAGATAATAATTTTTTAAAACAAACTGCTTTTATTTTGCCTGAAATAAAACAGACTTTCTTCAGAAAAAAAATAATATATTATCAGACATAAAATTTCCTTGCTATGTTAACATCATTTGGGAAATATTTTAAAACAAACAAAAAAATCCAAAGGGGGGCTAATAATTCTGACTATCTGCACCTTGTAAAGCTCAGCCTCATACATTCTCATTCACAGTACATCTCAATGCGGAAAAGGCTATAATCGGCCATAAACACAGGACATGATTTTCAAATATTTGATAGAGCTGATCTGATCTCTGAGTAAATGATGCTGTGTGGAGAGTGAAATGCTGTATCATGAAAGCACATCTTTACAAGCGTATTTCACACACAGCAGACAAAACGACCTCGCGAGGGTCACGTTACGTCCTCCACAATGTCAAGTTCATCTGTGAGATGCTAATATCTTCATTTCCACCGGGGAATATCCTTCACAACCCATATTTCAACCTCCAAACACTAAGACGAGCATCTCCAGACTGTATTTAGATGCTCAGCTATAATCCAAGGAAAAGCACCTATCATATGAATGTCATAGTTTCTAGTTTTATTAAAAACTCACAAATTTGTTCAACATGTCGTGTTTATACAGTGAATGGTCTAATATGCACTGGAGGTCACGTAAGCTTAGGTTTATTAGAACAATAAAAGACATACCATGAGAATTTGATATTTAAAGAAAGCAGCAGCTGCGTTTGCTGCACATTTGACCATCAATTTCAATAGTTTGGATTTTCCTTTAAAGACACAAAAATAAAACTTGTAGGTCTAAGTATGTTATATTAACAATTTATGAATGTTTTTTCTTCAGCAGACTAAAAAATTAAGAAGTCAATACTTCTTATAGTTTTTTAAACACTTACACTTTGTTTCAACACGTTCTGCAGATAATGGTGCAAAGCACTTTTACAGTATTTGTGCTATGTTTTTATTTGGCAACTGTCTACTTGTATTTTTTTTTTCTTTTTTTTCCAAGTTTTTTTTTGTAAACAACATTTTGTACAAACTAGCACAGTGAACCACAACCCCAGCAAACTCATTTTCATCGTACAATATAAATAAAATCGATACAAAAGTTTGGTTGGTTGCTTGGAACATTTTTTTCTGAATCAAGAGGTTCTAAATCATGGTTGATACTTTTTAACTCCTGAATTAAATATATTACGTAAACAGTTGACTGTTCTATGTCCCTTTCAGACCCTTGGTTAAAATAATTTTAGAAGGTAGACTTCATTTATCAACATTTCAAGTTCTCTTCCATTAAATAAAGGGTGCACAATCCATACGCATTGAATGTTTCGCCTTTTGAAGGCTAACTTCTTCAGATTTGGTGGAATTCTTGGGAAAGAAAAAAACTAATTGAAAAAAAAAAAAAAACAGGATATGTCCAGAACGAGAAAAAGAAAAGCTTTTCTCCCTGGCCTTCAGAAACGTATTTAGTGTCGAAAAGGTTGTTTAAGTGTCAGTATGGCAGAGCCTTGAAAGGCAAGGAGGTCTGAGGAGTTTTCAAATAAATAAATTAGTCTGACGGCTTAGATCTCTCCTGGAGTCAACATTGCAGGTTAGCGTTAGATCAGCCGCCTCGGGTGTTTCTCTGTAAAGCTGACAAGTCTTTGACGGTAGCTGACGCTGTTAATGTGTCGCAATCGCTGTTTTTAGAGCGCCGATTAAACCGATTTGTGGAGGGACGCCTCGTAGCGGAGTTCATACAGCGACCGGGTCAACAGTATCTCTTCTTGAGTTCGGATTTGGGACAAAGAAGGAACGAAAAAAAAACGGACCATCAACACAACAAGTTCAAGAAGGTGAATGTCAATGCCCATGCTGCCCTCTACTGCTCTCTCCAAACACATTTATGACATGGGGGGTGAAAAAAGAGACAAAAATGAGAACCAGAATGTGCGGCCGGTCAGTGTTTCCCCGTTCCCACCCTCCCTCCTCCAACGGAATGTCCATTCACAGCAGCTACCAGACTGTGCCCTCGTTCATTTCTGACGGAGGATGGGAGAGGTGGTTGCTGTATCCGCTGCCATTCAGCGAGAGGGACGTAAAGGACGGACTGGGCCCGAAAACATCTGAGGACATACTGTGCAGGGGTCCAGGGATGCCGGGTTCAGGACTAGGCGAGTCTCCCGGGTGGTGAGACATGATGTCTGAAAAGCGTTGTACTTCACTGGACGGATGGTGACCGGGGATGGGATGGTCCATGCCCCCAAGTGGGGTACCGGTGGGTCCTGATGAGGGAACAAAAGGGAGGTCTACAGGAGTCTGGGCCTGTGAGGATGGAGGGCCTTGGGGAAAGAAGTCGTAATTCCCTCCTGGGCCGTAGTACTCGCTTTGATAATCTGCGGATACACAGAACAATAAAAGAATTTAGCTTTGGATGCAAGGTGAAGGAGAAAATTTCTTGTTTAAAAATTCATAGAACATGTAGTCTGTCACTCTTTGGAACAAATCTCAATGTGCCACATTAGTCACAGTACATGTTACACTGAAATCACAAATGTAGGGTGGGGAGAACAAAGGTTTGCTAATTACATCAAGGAAGGTTTTGGTCTTTCAGAACAGCTGAAAACGTATGAAGAACACTGTTATTGATATGATAGCAGGTGTATATATTTATGTAAATAGCTGCCTTGTTTTATGCTCATGCAAATTATATGGTAAACTGAGGATAGTTATGTTCATGTTTCTCAGCAAGAGTTTATATTTTGATCGGCTCTTGTTAACCTAACAGATAAAGCAGAAAAATTATGATTCTGGTATTTAAGCTGGATATATATACTTATCTTTTTATCTTAATTTAAAAGGGTTTTGTTTTTAAATTAATCTTCAAGTACATTCATAACCAATGCTTTACATATTTATGCACTATATATTTTGTATGCTAACTGGCAAGAATAATCTATTTTTGAAAAATATATTTAATAAACATGTGAAACATAGTATTGAACCAAAATTGTATTGAAACGCCATGTATAGCAACAAGATCAAAACATTCACGCAATTATAGTTTAAAAAATAAGTATATCGACAAAAACGTTAAAGAAGCTTTCAAAAAGTTATTCAAAGAGCAACACAACAAATATTAAACAGCTGGTATGGTATCAATATCAGAGCATTTAGATATAAAACACGGTCAACAAGCCAGTTTCTTTTTTTTCAAAATCAGAATTCACAAATCTAAATCACAAAATGTACAAGGTTTTAAACGAAAAACAATCTAATAGACGAATAACATTTTCTTAAACATATACTTGTCGCGTAAATCCATCATTTTCACTTCTCAGGCGTAGCTGCGCAAGTAAGACACATATTTCAGACAAAGATTTGAGATGGATAAATGTGCAATAATAGGCCATTAGTATATCTCACCTCCATAGTATGAAAACGGGCCGTTTGGAATTAATTCTCCAGGCTCGAGTCTGTCCACGAGCGTTCGCATTCTTCTCGGACTCCGGAAGAACGCGTGTCTCCTGGCGCCGAGCGCGCTCAGCTGTTTCATACGCCGCTCTTTGGACCGCCGGTTCTGAAACCATACCTAATGCACATGGACAAATAGCAGTGAAAATCATATTAATAATTTGCAGTAAAATCGGTAACACTTCATAGAACAGTGACAAAGTGATAAACATTGCAATAATTAATTCCAATTGTAAAAACAATAACAAGCTGCAGATTTACGTTAATAATTAGTGGTTTTGGTTCATTAAGACAACGCGTCTAGAAATATAAATACATAACAATTATGAGAGGAAAATCATATTATCATCAAGTAGCTAAATAAATAGCTAAATAAATAAATCACAAAAAAACATCGTTAGTACAACATATTGGCGTACATTTCGTGTGATTGATAACATTTTATTTCCGGCATTATTTAAATACATTATAACAATGCCATTTTACTTGGGGTTTTTACGAGTGTTCAAAGAGTTAGCTCGATTTTAGGCTATTTGTTATTAGTCACTCAAGGTGGTCCAAAATACAAATAGGCCTACCTGTAGGCTTTACATTGTGCATAATTTTGATTTTCAATGTAAGGCAGCAAATAATCATGTAGGCTAATTTATTGTGCAGAGACTGTAAAATAAATAGACTCTACCTGACGTGCACATCTAAGCGTCTGATACAATGCCCTAATGTTTACATGTCAGGTTTACCATTTTTTATTGGTCTAGAGCTGTCTTCACAGTCTACTAAGGTAAGCATGTGAAGTTAATAAATACATTCGTATTGTAGTGACACGATTACTCGTAATTATCGTCACTGTTAGAGAGTCGGATCTAACCTCACTTTAATGATCTTTTAACCCTCCATTTACTCCGACTGAGGGGGCAGCAGCGGGGACTTCAAATCTCTAATTAATACTTAATAGGAGGGTGGTTACCGATATATTAACCGGCTCTAGTGCAGTTATTATTTCGTAATCTATATATCCACCCTTGAATTCCTCTTGCTAATTATAGTTTACTCTGACGGTCTTAAATATCCAACCTCGCCACTCTATTAATCTCAACCCTTTCCCTGCACTTGATCTTATGATGTTCAGTCTGATTTTAAAGCATTATCCCCACATCTATTACGGAGCCTTTAACGATGATGATGCTTTATCTGTGTTCTTATCGGATCTCTAACGCCGTAAAAATGACCAAGATGAGGGTCTTTAAAACGATGCTGACAAATCCCATATAGCGTGCGTAAATGAGGGCGTGCGTTCACCAATGCACTGCGCGCATCGCTTGGACTCTCATTGTTCCGTCGTTCACTCGACAAAAAAAGCAAAGATCGATTCTCAATTTCTCACAGAAAACCACCTAGTATGAGGTACTTTGACAGACACAGGGACAGATTTCTGCGTTTCCACTTGACTGAGAACCGTCACAGCATGTCTAAATGTGGTCGCAAAACGTGATGGCGCTGCATTGCCAAGACTCCCATCGTTCTCACCAGTCTGATGCCAGCTGGCGTGCCTCTCCATCTCTCGAGTCAAGTATAAAAAGGCTAAGCATATAAATGTTACTTCCAAATATTTACAGGTGCCAGCAAAAAAGTGTCCTCATTTTAATTCAAATAGTCTTGCCTCAAGGATTGGCAATGAGAAGCACAAAGAAGGCGCGCGTGTGCTTTTCACAATTTCATCCAAAGAGAGAAATTTATACCACAAGATGCTTAAGAATCGCATGCTATAAGCTATATTATTCTTCAAATATCAATATCGACATTCATGTTTTAGCGTTTTGATCCTTGCAATTGTTAGGACCAAAGCAATAATGTAATTAATAACACACACATCAAATTTATGCAATAATGTGCAATTTTACCTGAATAACTCGCATGTTGAGTCCCGTCTCTTGCGCCAGTTGCTCCCTGATGTGTCTGGTTGGTTTGGGGGTCGCCGCGAATGCCGCTTTCAGTGTCTCCAGTTGCTTTGCTTTAATAGTGGTACGCGGTCCTCTCCGTTTGCCTCCAAGGTTCTGGTCATCATTTTCATTGTTACCCGTTTCTTTGTCCGATAAATTTGCGATTTCCGCATCCTTGACATCGTCCTGTAGCTGGTCTTGAGAATCTGGCGATAAACTAGGATCACTGCAAGCTGTAACTGAATAGGGAAAAGGGGCCGTCGGAAAAAAAGGGAGTCGAAAAAAAAAATCTGAATTAGACATGGTGACCTGAGATGCGCTGAACACTAAACACTGGAATGTAAAATAAATAAATAAATAAACACTATAAATAAAGCACAAAAACAAATTTCGAAAGAATAAAAAAAGAAATTAATCTACAAACAAGGAACAAAGAAATAATGGTATTTACAGTTGAAAGAACTGTCACGATGCACTAGTCTACGACAGTGAAATTATTATTAGTAAATAAACTGACCAACATCGCGATAGGCTACTAATTTAATGCAATTCATTTGACATGGAAATTGGTAGAGAAAATTCTAAACAAGCTTGTTTAGATTGTCGTGCCCCATCTGAAGATCTATTTTAGTGTACTGTTTAAGAAAACAAAACATTTCAATCTACAGCCCTATTCTGAACAATATTTGTCTTTATTGTTTAAAAAATGTTTTACAACAAAATATGAATTGCTAATAAACATTTAATCAAAAAGCAAAAAATATGTGGGGGGAAATAAACCCGCTTGCAGCATGCAATACATATTTTCAATTCTAGCATCATTTACTTACCTGATAGGAGATTTGAGTCTTTTCCGTTCGTGTTGCTTAAATAATCGTCTTTACAGACAAATTTATTTTCGTCTATGATGTACAATTCCTCTCCTGTGGAAAGCTGCTTGTTACACATCATGCATGTGAAGCAGTTCAGATGAAACACTTTGCTCCGTGCCCTCCGGACCAAGTCATTCGGCGAGATCCCCTGAGCACAACCCGCACATTTTGTTCCAAAGCGCCTGCAAAATGGACAGACCAAAAAAAAGGTCAATATACAGGAGTAAAACGAAAGAAAAATACGAAATTATCTGCATAAGCTCAGGCGAGACTTATTGAATAGCATCACTTATTTGAGTTCATATAAAATTCGAATGCTCCTAAATGTTAAGTATTACCATCAAAGTTATTTTTTGGGAAAAATATTTACCTGGTTAATTGTTATTGGTTACAGCATTTTAGAATACGCAAACAAAATAATATTTATATATGCATTAGCATGTACTTTTTTTCCACTGTAGGCCTAAAAAAACATATACGTTTATTGAGCAGGTTAGTAATGTGCATTAAAGCACAATTAATAATCTCCCGTAGCATCTTCATTCTTACAATCCAAACACCATTGCAGTAAATTCTCACCACTTAATTATGACCAATAATGTGTATTGTGGTTCTCTGTGCAGATTGTTGATTCTGAGTCTGTGATTACATTGTCTGAGGGTCTCCATCACAGAGTCGTTTATTATTCAAATCCACTTATCACATCTTAACTCAAACCACTGCAAACACACTCGGCGTTGTGCAGACAGCCTGCCACTGGGCCACGTTACACTTTCAACTACCCTGGCAAAGCATTGATCCCTGCGGCTTCCCTGGCTGCCATTCGTTGTAAACAAAGTGTGATTTCCTTAAAGCCATTGCTGCGGACGAGTACACAGACTATTAGTGTATCTGCTCGTCATTTTGCATAACAATTCAAATTAACAAGCATTTAATTAATGGGCGTCCTAATCAAAGAATCAAACAAGTCGGTTTTGTTGACAGTACTTAGGATCACACTTCTTGTTAGTGTGAATGTAAGTCCTAAATCTAATAAAATCATGCAAAGCTCTGTGTAAAGCTGTTGAATCGCTGGAGAAATTTCTTCCAATTTAGTTATTTTTGAGTGACTTTAAAAAATGTGATTTCACCTTTTAAAGTGATGTTGTTTTAAGCTCAATTGTGGAACCTCTTTAAAATGTAAATGTGTAATTTTAAAATGAAATAATTTTGGGTGTCTTCTGGATTTATTTCTGTCATATATTAACGATACATTATATATTTTATATAGAAATGTTTCATAGATATACCATAGATACACAACAACGGGTAATATATTCATCTTGTTCGTAGAATATTTGTATTATTATGGTAGACATCTGTACTAGATTTTCTGAAGTGGGCCTACATAATAGCTACTTTATAAACGATTAATTATCCATTTATCACAAAAACCCCACAAGTAAAATATTTGGTCGAATTAACTCACGCAAGGAACTTACCTAAAGAAGTCGTTTTTGCAATATAGTTTTCCTTCTCGAGAGAAGCATTTCTCTGTTAGGTTACATTTGCACTCGCAGCACTGTACGCACTTGATGTGCCATGCTCTGTCCAGAACATTAAGGAGAAACCTGTCCAATATAGGCCTCTCGCAGCCCGCACAGTGGACCATCGTCTTTGGATGTGCTCCCACAGTTACTGCCGTGGTGTCCACAACCTGAGGCTCTGCTCCTGATTTCTCTCTTTTAAAAGAGAGGAGGAAAAGTTGTATCGCTGAAGGATGTTCCAAGTCAGTCTTTGCGAACAGGGTTGAAACGAAAAGATGAAGAAGTTTTAAATATATTCACCAGTTCTGCGTTTGTGGGTGGACCTGTAGGGGTCCAAAATGAAGACGATAGAAGATTTTCTCATGAGGTAGTGCTTCAGTAGTCAGTCATCATTTCTCGTCCTCTTCCGTCCCAAATTTTGAGGTGCATAAATGAAGCCAGCATAGAGAAATCTTTCAAAACACCAACTGTTCGTTGGCTACAAAGGTAAGCACATCATTGCGTGAAAAGCACGTCGTCGTTGTCAACAAGGTGAAGCATTGGTGAGGATGTGCATTAAAGTCTTTCACAAGCCAGCATCTAATGCAACCGAGACATGCGAGCCTAGAGTGCACTTTACCATGTCCACGTATCCACTGTTTACGTCCCTCTGAAAGATGCAATGAACAAACGCTTCGAAAAGTGCGTCTCCCTCTGTAACGTGTGCCGTTTCCTCGGTAAGACAGAGGTGAAAGATGCTAGTGTGAACAGAATACGCGTGACATCTCGTTGCAGGACTGATGATGACGATCCCCGAACAGCCTCCGGTGTTCTGCATGTTCCTGAAAGCACACGAGCCAGCCTTATTCACAGCCTCCTGACGTCACTCCGGGGCGAAGCCAATCAGCGGCTTTCCGTTCAAGTAACCATTAGCTATCCCCTCACCGCTTTACCGGCACACTCTGCGCTATTTATAGGGAACAGAAGACACCAATTGTCAAAAATCCCAGAAACTGTCATATCTCAGTTAATGTGGAGAGCCAGAAAACAGAGCGTTTTATTTATTTTTCCTCGTCATTTTCCAATAATCTTCAATTCTCGTGGATCCGAGGAACGAGAGAAGGATTTGATAAGGTACATGTCTGATAATTTACGCATTGTTTATTGGTACGTGTCAGGTGCCTTAGAATATTTGAGATTAGTCATGTAGTGCAAACAGTTTTTTTTTTAGAACTAATTGCTTATATATATATATATATATATATATATATATATATATATATATATATATATATATATATATATATATATATATATATATATAATTAACAAATTAAGAATGCTTACGGATATTTGTTTTGGAATATTCATCCTATTAATTTTATGTCGCAAAATTTATCATAGTTTTTAAGTGTATTCGGGATGCAACCATCAAGAAACTGATAGAATGCATCGTATAAACTTCATGAGCTATGTCAGACGCATTTTGAATAATACATTTGTGTCTATGGCGAAAAAAAAGTTCGCTGACACGAAATTTATAACCTCTTTTCCAAGACACTTACGTATAATAATGTAGTTTCACACGGCTCTAAAACTAACCTTTAAAGCTATTCCGTTTAGAGAATTTTAAGCAGACAATTGGTTTAACCTTTTAACTACGTCATTCAATCAACGATAAGACACTTAAGAACTACATCTTCCTTTGGTCCTTTGTTAAAAGAGAGAAAGTGAAAGACAGGAGGGCTCTAAACTTTACAGGATGTTAGATCACCTCAGCAGCCTCTAATGGCCCAAACACCTTGTGGTGTTATTAGTAGATCTGTTAAGTCCGTTCTTCTGATTTTAAGCAATATACGTCGCGTCCTTAAACTATATGTAGCTAATATTTACATCTGATAACAAATTATTAATCGGGAGCAGTGCTAAAAGGTTTAGAACTATTTCAGATTGTGTAGATTCCAGGTGAATTGTTTTCTTTGATTTTCTTAATAGCATTTATGTGTTTTTGACTGTTTTATTTTATTGAAATGTGCAATATATGTTCTAACTTTGTTCATTTATTTCTGTATAATAATTATTTATTAATATGGAATGTTTTGTTTTTGTTTTACTGTGTGCACATTAACCTTTTCCGATTTTTTTACAGCAATTATCTGTATCATTGTAACAATTTAACACCATTAAAAGACACATCAAATTCTAATTTTATTTGAAAAGTCTGGTATTATTTTCTTCATGTGACACTGACATATACAGACTCAGTCATTCCAATTCTCTCTCTCTCTCTCTCTCTCTCTCTTTCACACACACACACACACACACACACACACACACACACACACACACACACACACACACACACACACACACACACACACACACACACACCCCTCAACCTCACAATCTCAGATATTTACATTCTGTCAGCTTAAATTGTGCAAACGTTCCAGTCTGGAATCAATACCATGGAACTTTGTGCATATGGGCCACTTCTCATGTAAAACGGCATGATCGGGGCTGGTCCACGCCATGGCAGCAAAAGGCCTTACACAACACACAGAAACAGCTGCCGATGAGCGTCTAGGGAGTGCTCCTCTTTTGACTGTGGGACCCTTGGATGACATGTGTTATTTCACGAAGAATAACAGATAAAAGATGAACACACTCAATCTTTTGCAGTCGCATATTTGCGGCCACTACCCCTCCCTCTTCTCTTTTGAACTTCTCTTTTCTTCTCGTTTGGAAATCCACTGGACTAGATATTTCCGAAAACAGTCAGAAATAATCGTTTGCTAAATGGTTAAAATTTTCGTGTATTTTTATAGTTAATTTTGTACACCAATCTATTTCTTTCCGTTCCTTAATTCAGTGTGCACTATCACAGATGGTGGAAAACGTAGCCTATTTAATTTTACCTTTTAAAAATAAAATATATTATTCTTATTTTGATTAAGGATAGGCTAATATTCACACATTGCTTATAATATGTTAATAGTTACAAAAAATTTGCAAAAAGTTCTACTTCTTAAATTCTTAAAATTATTCGTGTATTTTATTCGTGTAATAGCCTGAAATTAATACTAATTAATTCGTTTTCACTCCTTCGCAGAAACAGTAATATTTGATTGCATCTGCCTCCACTTAGGACAGAGCTTCGGAAATAACCGAAGCACCATATTTCATGTCTGTCCGAGGTTTCATTTATGCGGGAAAAAATGTTAAGATTAAATAAAAATGTTCTTTGGCAGATAGTTAATCGAACATGCTGACTCATCTAAGATGTGAATAAATTAGTGGCATCGCTATAAAGTCTACTGACCAAAAAAAAAAAAAAAAAAAAAAAAAAGAGTTTGGATATGGGGCAGTGCTAGAGGGAGCTATCGATCGAAAAATTCTCACCACTGGAAGAGCAATGCCTGTCAAACTGCACGCGCTGCATTACGCATGCTCTTTGCGAGGAATCTTTTTCGAAAAAGCTAATCGAAAAATGCAAGGGTGAATCAAGCTGTAATTTATACCCTGGTGGTATGTAAACAAGTTATAAATTTGTAAACTAGACATAGCAACATATTCGAAAGATTTGGCGTATTTCAGTATTTAGCCTGCATCTGTTGTTCACGTAAAATAAATAAATTCAGCACATCCATAATTCCATAACCTGCATGTAACGTAAATATAAACATATCTAAAATATGCATAAAGTAAAATTGTTTTTAAACATAACATAGAAAAAATCATTAAGCAGATTTAATAATTTGTTCAATTTTAGATTTAAATTTTTTTTCCATTCGTTTAACTGTTGATGTGCAGAAGTTTTAAGTAGTAGTAAATCGTTTTAAAACTAAACTTTCGTAGGCAGAACAAAACGTGGTTAAATTCAACATAAACGTGTCATCTTAAAGTAAATGTATTATTATATTATTAAAAGAGTACGTATTTTCACTTTTGGTGTATTTTTACGCGTTATAGTCATCCTATACGATACATTAACTGAGCTAGTGTGGGCAGAGCAGTGTGTGATCGCCTGGCCGTACAGACATGCTGTGACTCCGGTAATAAAGTGAGAAATATTACCCCTTACTCTGGCTTTGATCAGCTGGTGCACCGGGACGAGCAGGAGCCCAAGTAAAGGGGGGCTTTGTGCCTCGGGCCACTCTCCATATCGCTCTGCACCGCTGCCTGTTTGTTTACGCGTTATATTCATGATATTTGGAATGCCTTTTAGTAGTATAGTTTTTCGTTGGGTATTGTATTGGTTTGCCAAAAAACAAAATGAAGTGCCGGCATTTACATTACGGCATTAGATATAGGGAAATTACAGGTATGTTTTTAAGTATATTATAATGATCTTATTACATATTATTTGTTAAGTTTTGCATGTATGTGTATATATATATATATATATATATATATATATATATATATATATATATATATATATATATATATATATATATATATATATATATATATATATATATATATATATGCTACGTATGATAAATGAACATCTTAAAGATATAATAAAGATATCCAGTATCTCTAATTAAACTGTTCATTTTTCAGACATTACTTTCCCTCCGAAAAAATATATAATGTACTGTTGTTGCATTATTTGATTTTAACAAATCCTTCCCTACTTTTTCTCTTAATTTAAATAGGGCAAAGCCGTTTAGATGAATTCCAATCGGTGAAATAACAGATCAAAAGGCTTGACATGACACTACATTGCCCAATTCTAAGCAGTCAGGGCCATATCCATACCCCAACGAGTGTGTGGTAAAGGTGGGGGGTAATTTAAATATGACTGCAATGAAGCATGTGTCTTGCTTTTCTTTCAAGAGAATGTCTTTATTTTCGCAGTGTGTAAAATAGGCGTGTGGCGCTCCAGGACCGCGTTGTGTCAATCTTTTTGGCTCTGCAGTGCAGTGAGGAGCTGTGCAGCAACCAAACCCGGACCCACAGCATGTCCAAACCGATTAGTGGTCAGGGACGACTGAAGCAAGACCTCTGCAATTATATTCCTTACAGCAGTCTCCAACCCAAAAATATTAACTCTAAATTCCACACGAACTCGGCGATTTTAGAACTGTTGAGGGGTAAATAAAGTGAATAATTATCAGTCTATCAGATAAACAGTGACCACGTAAAATGAGATGCTCCTGTG